ACATAAATATATAAATACATAAATACATAAATATATAAATATAAATATATAAATATAAATATAAATATAAATATAAATATAAATATATAAATATAAATATATAAATACAAATATATAAATATATCAAAATATAAATATATTTTATATTTATATATAGTTTATATTTATATATTTTATATTTATATATATTTTATATTTATATATATTTTATATTTATATTTTTTTTATATTTATATATTTACAAGGATAAATATAAATATAATTTATTTGTAAATTATTATCAAAATATCCTAATAGCTTAGTGGTTGGAGTATCGACCTTTAACTCGAGGTACTTGGTTCGAATCTTGCCAATGACAATTCCCTTAATCTAATAATAATTCAAAGTTTCGAAAATATAATAAATAATACAAATATAATATAAAGGGGAGGGGTTGTAATAAATAAAAATATTTTGTTTAGGTGAATGCATTACCTACGGATTATAATCCGTAGGTAATTCCAGACAGTGCATAATGACAATTCCCTTAATCTAATAATAATTCAAAGTTCGAAAATATAATAAATAATAAAAATATAATATAAAGGGGAGGGGTTGTAATAAATAAAAATATTTTGTTTAGGTGAATGCATTACCTACGGATTATAATCCGTTGGTAATTCCAGATAGTGCATTACCTACGGATTATATTCCGTAGGTAATTATTTACGAAAAAAATCCGTAGGTAATTACCTACGACCAAATTACATACGGATTTTCTACGGAAAAAATCCGTAGGTAAAGTGACATTACCTACGGATTTTTGTCATTACCTACAGATTTTACCCGTAGATAATAAGCATTTTTTTTAGTGTAAACTTTTCTTAAACAATGTATTGAATAATTAATATTACTCTAGTCTTAATTTATTACAATTTAAATTTTTAATAAATTTGATTTATTTTTAATAATATTTTTATTTTAGTAATTTAAAATTAAAGTTAATCTTCATTTTGTTAATATTGAGACCAAAGTTTATTTTTAAAGTATATTTTAAAAATTAAATTATTTTTAAAAAATAAATTACTTTTAAAAAATAAATTGTAAAAAATATACTAAAACAATTAAAGTATATTTATAAAAAAATAAATTTAAATATAATAAAAAAATAATCTTCATTAGCGACCGATTTCAATTCGGTCACTATTTCTATTTGTAATTCGGTCGCTAAATCAGTCGTTAAATGATTTTTTTATTTTAGTATGGAATAGCCACCGATTTAGCGACCGAAATTTTGCGACGCAAACTATTGGTCGCTAACTAAAAAATGTGAAGCCAAATTATATTTCGATGGCTAAATCGGTCACTAAATTGTGATCGAATTAATTCGGTCGCTAAATCGGTTGCTAATAGCGACCGAATTAAATTGGTCGCTAAATCGGTTGCTAATTTCGACCGAATTAAATCGGTCGCTAATTATGACCGAAAAAAATTCGGTCGCTAATTACGACCGAAAAAATTCGGTCGCTAATTTCGGTCGCTAAATGTGTTTTTTCTTGTAGTGATTCTCACATTACGACTTTACTCATATATGTAGATGATATTATTTTAACTAGGAACGATATCAATGAAATAAATACAGTTACTACTCTTCTTGATCATGCTTTCAAAATTAAAAATCTAGGAAACTTGACATATTTTCTTGGTTTTGAAATTGTAAGGAGCAGTAAAGGTATACATTTTTGCCAACATAAGTACACTCTCGATATCCTGAAAGAAGCTGGAATGCTTGATTATGCTCCAATCTCTACGCCTATGAATTTTTCCAGACATAAGACTACAGAAATAGGAGAACCCCTCCATGATCCAGCTCCCTTTCGCAGGCTTATTGGCAGGTTAATTTATCTAACACACACCAGACCAGATATTGCCTTTCAGTGGCAGATCTTGACCATTGATATTGGGGGGCCAAATAATATATTATTAATAAATAATAAATAAATATAAAATAATATATTATTAATAAATAATAAATAAATATAAAAGGAAGAAAGAATATGAAAGGGTAAAAGGATAAAATTATAGATATATATTTAAATATATTAAATGATCATTAAGTGTGAGGGGGACAAAGTCATAAATTACATGGGAGTTACAAAATTAAGGAGGGGCTGAGAGGATAGAATTGTAAATATACAAGTAAATATATTAAATGTTTATTAAGTTTGGGGGGGCCAAAGTCATAAATTACATGGGAGTTACAAAATTAAGGAGGGGCTGAGAGGATAGAATTGTAAATATACAAGTAAATATATTAAATGTTTATTAAGTTTGGGGGGGGCCAAAATCATAAATTACATGGGAGTTATAAAACTTTGGGGGGGCCACGACCCCCCTCAGCTTCCAAGAAGATCCGCCACTGTTGCCTTTGATGTCCATTATTTAAGTCAATTCATTACTGCACCTACAAATCTTCATGATCGGGCTTCTATGAGAATTCTCAGATATCTCAAACAGCACCCTAGACAGGGTATTTTCTTTGATTCTACTAGCAACTTCATACTCAAAGCTTTTTGTGATTCTGATTGGGCTAGTTGTCCTGATACTCGCCGATCCATCACTGGCTACATCATCTATCTTGGAAATTCTCCAATTTGTTGGAAATCTAAGAAACAACAAACAGTTTCCAGAAGTTCTTCAGAGGCAGAATACCGTGCTATTGCCTCCACAACATGTGAAATACAGTGGCTTCATCACCTTATGCAAGATCTCAAAATTCAACATCAATAACCTTCTCTTTTGTATTGTGACAGCCAATCTGCGATTCAAATTGCATCTAATCAAGTCTTTCATGAACGAACCAAACACATTGAAATCGATTGTCACTTGATTAGAGAGAAGATAAAACAAGGTCTAATTAAAATTCTTCACATCAACACTCATCACCAACAAGCTGACATTTTCATAAAACCTCTTCCCCCTGCTACTTTTAATAATCTTATGTCCAAGCTGAGAATTCTTGACATATACTCCCGACTTGAGGGGGTCATCAAAATAATCAACTCCATAACAAACCTATCACCTTCAACCACAACGTTTCATAGGGTTGTTACTTTCTTTCTTTTATTTTGTCCAGTTACGTTTCCATTCTTACTTCGGTATATATATATATATATATATATATATATATATATATATATATATATATATATGAAGAATGTGTTTTTGTACAGAAGAGAAAAATAATATCTATTTTAATCTTCGAAGAATGTGTCTTTTGTTCTCTCTTTCTCTATGTTCTTTATCTTTGATGAGTTGCAGATTTGTCAAGATGGTATCAGAGTCAAAGCCCAACATCTTTCCGGTTATTGTCATGGGTCAAAAGTTGCCCTTTAGTTGGGTCAAAAATACCATTTGCCAGGTCCGACAGGCTTCGTTGGAGGGGGCGTGTTGAAAGTCTCACATCGCCTACCTCATGTCATTTGATATGGTTTAAATACATGTTAGGCTACTCCACATATTGTGAATTGATTTTATATTAAAACCTTAACATGATCTACAATGATACTGTCATTATGACTCATTGATTGTTGTATAACTACATCTTCCGATTAACATATGATTTCCTTTATGTCTTTCTATTTCCATCTCCATTTAACGAGGGTTTCAGTTTAATTTTTCATGATTCTTATTTGAATTTGAATTTTATAGTGTATAGATTGACATTTAATAAATGTATTTCCTTTCCTTCAGAAGGAAGGATGTGTTTGAAGCTTCCGGTGTCTCTCTCCTCGAAGATATCCACATTAGCCCAATGTGGTACATTATTCTTAAGGGGTAAATACTACGCCATTGTTGTTGTTTCCTATTTTATTAGTATTATTTATTAGGGTTTGTTTGCTTCTTTTGATACTAGCCTTTATAATGTATAGGTTTGATAGAAAATAACATTGATTATTTGACTTATACTACATTGGTTCCACAACTGATATAAACTTGATATAGACTTAAGTGGGGATGGAAAAACGGGTCAGTCCGCCCCGTTTTGGCCTGCCGTGTCTTTGGCTCGCCAAAAGTGGGGCGGGACGGGCTGACCCGATATAGTCATGACAAGTCGTAGACCTTGACCGCCCGCCAAGGGACGGGTTGGCGAGCTGGCTTTGTCATAATTTAGAAAAAAATATTTTTTTTAAATACTTTTTTTAATAAATTTAATAATAAAATTATTATTTGTTTGTCAATAATTCAATATATATATATATATATATTATTTCAATTTAATAATATAAATCAATATATTATTTTAAGAAATTATAATTTAGAACAATAATAAAATTTACATAATAATAAATAATAACAAATATATATATATATATATATATATATATATATATAACGTTAAACTTATAAAATTTATATTTTTTATATTAAAAAATTCAAATACCTATATCTTTTTTATTTGATAAAACTTCATATTATTCTTGATGGAGTAATTCTTACACCTTTAATTCAAGTAATAAGGATAAAAATAATCGATGCTTAAGACAAAGAAGGAGAACGAGAGAAAATGTTATGTTTCGGGAAGAAGAATATATTTATGTAAAAATGAAACTTTTTTAATTCTTTTTTAAAATTTTTAACTTTATATATTATCTTTATAATTAATTTTATTATAATAAAAAATTATTTTTTTATTAATTAGGTAGGCTATGGGCTGGCCCATTCCGCCCGCGGGTTGGCCCGACGGGTTGGCAGGGCGGACCAAAGCGGATTGGTGGGCTGAAAATACCTACCCGCTCCGCCATATTATGGTGGGCTGACGGGCCGACTCGTCGGGCTTAACCTGTTTTGCCATCCCTGTAGAAAGTCGATCATTTTCTACATCAGTTCCATAACATCTGATGTATAAAACATACTTGGAAGCCTAACGGTTGCACTGCATTTGATGGAGGTTTTTCCTACTAGGTAGTGGCTCACAAAGGTTCTAAATGCTACGCTGGTGGCTCGTGGAGGTGTGACTACTACGATGCTTGTCTCGTTATCTTTGCCAAACTGTAGTCGTTGGCAATGGCGGAGTAGTGGAATAGGTGCAAAGTAGTGGCAGAGTAGAGACAAAGCGTTAGCATTGCATTACAGGAGGCAATGCAGATAAACACCGAAACTTTTGTTAGCAGCTCGCACTGGTGACAACTTCCAGTGGTGGCTTGCAGTGTTAGCTGGTGGTAGGTCGTGAAAGATGTGTTCGTCATGCATGGTGACAGTGACAGTGAAAGGTTGCAGGGAGAAAAAAGAATGGGGCACACACACAAATAAAGGACCCACAATGAAGAACGACAAACTGACAGATGATGGTGACGTTGAGAGGGAGAAATGGTAGCAAACAAGGAAGGGTTTTATATATGTTGGCTACGGGATGGAGTTATAAGTTTTGTTCATAGGTTTCAACATTGAATTTAAAACAATTGTCGAATCCTTTTATAAAATGTGCTTCCTATACTATACTAGCTAGTGTGATTTAAGTAATTGTTTGTTCTTCTTTAATAATCAAAATAAATTTACGTAAGATCTTATATATATCAATCCGGCGTAATCGATGGATATATAAAATTAACCATAGACATTGAAATTGAATCACACATAAAAAAAAAAAAAAAGAAAAAAACTTCTTTCCGTACTAATGAAAAGAGATTAGCTTACTGATCCTTCCTCCATGTCAGATTATCGATGTCAAAGTCACCTTCAACCGCATGAACCTGTACCGAGGTATCGTGACGCAAGTAAACATAAAAAATGTGTCTGAATAATCCTCTTTATTGTATATCTTTATAGTTATCGTGGGAGAAAAAAATGTTCTTCTATAACTATTAAAAATTTAAAGAAATAAAAACACATTATTATAAAATTCAATTCAAGTACGGTTTAATTTAATTGATTTTAATTTAATAAGAAAACTCAAACTAAACCAAATAAACGTTTTATAATTTTTTTATTTATTATAAATTTTTAATTTTTTTAAATATTTATGATAAAAATTATTGAATAAAGAATGATGTCATTTTTTTTAAGTAATTATAGAAAGTTAGAGTTTGCATCTTCTTCCATTGAAAATATTTCTAATCTAAATATTATAGGGTGCGGAAACTTAAAAAACATTAGATGTACCATATCTTACCTATCATAATTTGTGCAGCATGATGTGTCTTTTATTCTTAAAATTTATTTAATATATTTCTTGCCAAAGAGTATGTTATCATTGAAGTGAAGATTAAATGTTGAATTAAATGTTAAATAAAAGTTAATCCTACGAGAAACAGTTTCAATGAAAATTCTCAATTATACGCTTATTAAATGGATAAAAACAAGATGAGTTTTGCATAAAGAGTTGAATTGAAATTAAATGACAAAGAACTGTAAATTATTTAGAAAAAATCAATTAAAAGTACGTAGGATTGACTTCCTTCTTTTTCCCTCTTTTGCAATGACTATGTTCAATTAAGATTATCAATTAACCTAACAATGTTGATGTCACCTACTCAAATCATCCATGTTGATTTCTCACACATGAAATTCATAAGAAAACCTAATAAATGTTGATTTCACACATAATTAAGAGATTTTTCAGCATTAGAGTTAGGGTGTTAAGTAATTGATACATTCATTTTATTTCTGGCAATTAACGTAACAAATATTCTTACCGTGATCTAGGGTTCAAAATCATATCCCAAACATTAAGAATAAATCATTCCAAGATACAAAAGATAAGAATAACAACATCAAAACATAGATTAATATATCAAAATATCACCAAGATACAAAAGAGTTCAAAGGAGGTGCACCCAATCCTAAGAGAATGAAGTTAGCCACTCATGGTGGTCATCACAATGCTCCAAATGAGGAAGAAGTGAATAATTGATGAAGATTTGATGAAACCTTAGCAGTAGTCCTGTATCTTCTCTCCAAAAATGCCTCCCCCTCTCAAAACTCGTCTTATCTTTTTATAGGAAAAATTGGACTTTTGGGCTTCACGTCTTTCGCTCAAGTGACAACACTCGCTCAAGCGAAAGTGAAGTATTTTCGCTCAAGTAGAAAATTGTTCGTTTGAGCGACTGAGTTCCAGGGAAGTTTAACTAATTTTCGCTCAAACAAAAATAATGGCTTAAGCAAATGAATTCCATAGAGTTTTAACTAAATTTCGCTCAAACGAGAGTCTATCTCGCTCGAATGACTCTCATGTTGAAAATCTTCTTCTTCTTTATAATTTTGTTTTAATTATGTTGACAATTATGTTCCTTACTTTTATATCAAGGTATTCTCGAATTCATCTTACATTGGAAGAAAAATATATTAGAATTAACATAAGTTAAGTGATTTTATAATAATTAAAAACATAATTATATTAACTTTTTATCACTTGACATTAACATAAACACCCTAAAGGAGTTTGATCCTATTTGTTCTATCATAGACTAGAGAGATAAGTTCAAAATATTTATATTTTTCACTATAGGAAGAAGCTAAAGTTTGGTTATATTATTTGTCACCTAGATCAATCACTACGTATGATAGCTTGAAGAGATTATTTTTAGAGAATTTTATCAACATCTCGAGTTAGTTCCGTAAGAAATGAAATTTGTGACATGTGGGAAAAAGATAGAGAGTTTGGTTGGATATTGGAAGAGATTTAAAAGACTGTATGCAAGTTGTTTCCACCCTACCAAATCCTATCCTAATACTTTTACGAAGGTTTGACTGTCATGAAAGGTGTATGATTAGTGTTGAAGGGGTGGAACTAAAATAATTGATTGAAATAATGACTACTAATTCACAGTAAATATCTACTTGGGGTACCACAATTGTTAGAATTATATTTTGAAGTTTAAACTGAATCTTTAATGGACCAATAGTTGGAGAATGATTTTGTTAACATTGTTTGAATGTCTAATCAATTGCCACAATCACAGGCTCAAGTACCCTCTCAACCACAAATTATTATGCAACGACAAGTTTTTCTTTCTCTTGGAGTACCGTGGGGTTTTATTCTTCATCTTTAAAAATCAACATGAAAGTGAAGGGATCACGTTAAGTTTTATAATTTACATATATATTTATAAAGTTGATTTTTATTATTTTTATATTTATTATTTATTATTTATTAATAATATATTATTTATTTTTGTCAAAAAATTTACATATATATATATATTTATAAATTTGATTTTTAATATTTTTATATTTATTATTTATTATTTATTAATAATATATTATTTATTTTTGTCAAAATCATTGATCAAGATTTTTAAAATTTCCTCTACGACAAGAAGTTTATTTCCTCTACGACAAGAAGTTTATTTAATCTCCAAAAAATATAATCTAAATTAGAGAAACTTAAAGTGAAGAAATCAACCCAACAATAGACATGACAGACTAATTATAACTCCCACCAACAATTATTGAGTTGGGACTTTTCTAATAAAACAATTAAAAACTTATTAATTCAATTAAAACAAATCATAATTTTTTTGTCAACTTTATGTTAAATTAACATATCAACATTATTTTTATCCTGATTAAAATTATAAAAAATAATCATATTATATCTATATAAAAATAACTTATTAAAAAAACTTAATTCAATAATAAAAAATAAAATATATATTTTTAATTTAAACTATAAAATGAAATTAAATATAACTTTAGATACAATGATTTGATATATCAAAAGATCCACTTACTCTAAGAGGAACCCTTATAATTTACCTGTCATTCTCAATCCAAAATACTAACTCATCTTAATTATTACATAAAAAAATATTATAAATATAAAAAAAATCTCTAATTTTTCTTCTATATCCTTTTTAAGAATATAAAAAAATATTCTACTCACACTAACATTAAGAATTAAAATCTTATGTTTTATATTTTAATAATTTAAAATAATAATTCATCTCAATTATCAAGTTATATATATATATATATATATATATATATATATATATATAATAAAGATGTAAATATTTTTTTAGTAATAATTAATATATATATATATATATATATATATATAATTAGATATGCGATATATATTTAAGTATTGGAATTAATATTTTTAAAGAGTAGATATTATCAGATATTAATAATAATCAAGATATTTCAATAAATATAATATTATTTTATAATTTCAAATTATTCAATAAATGATTAGGAATAATATCACAACGTACTCAACCACTCTAAAACCTGTTATAAATGGTAATGGAAGCATGAGAAAAAGTTAAAACTGATTTTTAATTACATAATGAGCTCGGAATTATTAAAATATAACAGTAATTAGAGATAACGAGAATTAGGTGCAAATTAAAGCAAGTGGGGACTCTTCGAAAAATAGTTCGCCATCATCAAATAAAGAATTAATTAGGGTAAAGACGGAGGAGAACCAATTCGATGCTTCATCCCTATAAATAAGAAGCTTCTCATGAAACAAAAATCAATCTCACTGGCGATTAAGAGTGTACTTGGTTACCTGGTGAAAAAAATGAAAGTTATCGTGTACTTGCTTGTTGCCATCTTGGCTTTGACATCCTCTATTGTCTCTGCTTATGACCCCAGTCCTCTGCAAGATTTTTGTGTAGCAGCCAACGAAACCAATGGGCGTATGTGCAAACATTCCTATAAATTCTTACTGCATAAACTTATTTTAGCTTGAATAATATATATTGATCTTGTGAAGAATTTTTGATAAAAACTATTTGTCTTTCTTAATTGCAGTATTTGTGAATGGAAAATTATGCAAAGACCCTAAACTTGTGAAAGCTGAAGATTTCTACAAGCATACGGAACCTGTAAAGCCTAACAATCCTCTAGGAGTAGCATTGACCCAGGTGTCTGTTGAACAACTACCTGGTTTAAACACAATGGGCGTATCTTTGGTTCGCATAGATTATGCAGCAAAGGGTATAAACCCTCCCCACACTCACCCTCGGGCCACAGAGATACTTTATGTCCTTGAGGGAGTAATCTATGCTGGATTTGTGACCTCCGCTGAAGATGGAAATCGCCTCTTCACTAAAACGCTGTACAAGGGAGATGTCTTTATCTTCCCATTTGGTCTCCTTCATTTCAACATGAACGTGGGGACGACCCCTGCTGCTTCCCTTGCTATTTTTAGCAGTCAAAATCCAGGAACTACCAATATTCCAGATGCTGTGTTTAAGTCTAATCCACAACTTTCTACAGATATTCTCGCCAAAGCTTTTCAAGTTGATAACAAAGTTATTGATGAACTTCGGAAGAACTAAGTCCAGAATACGGGCTATATTACTGAATAATTGGAGACTTCTATATATGTCTCAATCACCCCATGCAATGTTTTAATTACAAATGTACTAAATAAAACGTATGTGGGTTTTTATTTCGTTTAATAAAAAGGGACTGTCCAACCTTTCTACTTCAAGGCTTTTTTTACATAATTATTTCATAGGTTTATCATGTCAAATTTTTTTTGAGAGAGCACACAAATCCTCCATTGGAGATAATTCTACTAACCATTATGGGCATCATAGCTCTCCCTCTAATATTTAATGCAACTTTTTATTTATTTAAATCGTTTTTTAAACGTATGGGGTTGATTTGATCCATGCAACTCATTCTGTTGTTTGTTCGAAATGATAATGCTTCGAAATGGTGATGGTGGTGATTTAAGAGCTTCGAAATGATAATGCTCTATTATAAGATAATTTTAGAAATTGTAAGTTTTGTTAAGAAAAATTTATATCAATTTTATAAATAGACAATCTCAGTTATGTAAAGTGTCATAGAAATCAATACAAATTATTTAAGCTTATTTTATAAACCATAAAAATTGAGATGTGATGAGATCCTTCGTATTTGTAACACATCAAAAAAATCAACATGATATGAATGTTCTAAACTTTGAATTTCTAATGATTTATACATCGATTTAATCAGTAGGGTTACTTTTCATATACTTATTTTCATCATGTTTTATTATTATTCTAATGATCTAATGTTTTATCATGATCGAAACATGAAATCAATTACAATAAGAATGAAAGGATGATCCGCGTCGTGGGATGAACTAGTTGTTGTCAGACCAGAATTGCTTTTGAAGGTAATCAATTACGCTCTTGTCCACCTGGAAAGCTTTGGTTAGAAGCTGAGTAGAAATAGGTGGATTAGCTTTAAACAAAGCATTTGCGACTGTGATAGTTCCTGGATTTTGGCTGCTGAGACCAGCAATTGCAACAGCATTGCCGTATCCAACATTCAGTTGGAAATGAATGAGACCAATCGGAAACACAAACACATCACCCTTGTTAAGTACTTTGGTGAAGAGCCGATTTCCATCTTGATTCGAGCTCACAAATCCAACGTACAGACTTCCTTCAACAACAAAAAGGATCTCTGTGGCGCGAGGGTGAGTGTGGGGAGGGTTTAAACCCTTTGCTGCAAAATCTATGCGAGCCAAAGATATCCCAAGCGTGTTTAATCCTCCTAGCTGATCCACAAACACTTGACTCACTTGTGCACCAAGTGGGTTCGAAGTATTCCCAGCTTCCACATGTCTCAAGAAATCTTCTGCTTTCACAAGTTTTGCGTCTTTGCAGAATTTTCCATTCACAAATACTGCAAATGAACAATGCAAAATAAATCAAATTACGATAACTACTTCAACAAGATATATACATAGATATTATGAAACATGCAAGCTTAAAATTTGTGTAGGAATGTAGATGTACAAACCCCCATCAGTTTCGTTGGTCGCCACACAAAAATCTTGCAGAGGACTAGGGTCGTAGGCAGACACAAGTGAGGATGATAGAGCAAAGATGGCGACAAGTAAGTGCACTGCTTTCATTTTTTTCCTCCTAATTATATTTCACTCTTATCTTTATTGATTCTGCTGTATGGAGTCGCTTGTGAGAATTGAATTTTGATTCATGTGACACTGCTATTTATAAGGATGAAGCATTGAATGGGTTTGAAGTTCATCATACCCAATCTAATTTTTTATTTGATGATGAATCATTCCTTACCCACTAATGCGTACTTGATCAAATAATTTTATTGAAGTCGCGAAGACAATGTAGAAAACAATACATCAAATAATAATACAAAAGAACAGGCTTGGAATATAAATATATCCCAACTGCATCTCATTATTGTAAGTGACAATATATATGTAGAGAATTTGAATTGAATGATGTGGTCGGAACATCTAGTTGTTTCCGTACCATGATTGCTTTTGAAGATAATCAATTACTTTCTTGTCAACTTGGAATGCTTTGGAGAGAAGCTGGGAAGAAATAGGAGGATTGGCATCAAACAAAGCATCGGCGATGGTAATAGTTCCTGCATTTTGACTGCTCAGACCAGCAATGGCAACTGCATTTCCATATCCCACGTTCAATTGGAAATGAATCAGACCGATCGGAAACACAAACACATCACCCTTGTTCAGTACTTTGGTGAAGAGCCGATTTCCATCTTGATTCGAGCTCACAAATCCAACGTACAGACTTCCTTCAACCACAAAAAGGATCTCTGTGCCCCGAGGGTGAGTGTGAGGAGGATTCAAACCCTTGGCTGCAAAATCTATGCGAGCCAAAGATATTCCAAGTGTGTTTAGTCCTGCCAGTTGATCAACGAATACCGGAGTTACTTGTGCGCCAAGTGGGTTGCTAGTATTCCCAGCTTCCACATGTCTGAAGAAATCTTCAGCTTTCACAAGTTTGGGATCTTTGCAGAATTTTCCATTCACAAATACTACATATTTAACAAGGAAAAGATTTTAATTAGAAAAATGTAACGCAATGATTCTATAAATGTTAAATGAAATGAGTGCGAAGACTGTTGAAGACATATAGTTTGTATATTCTTTCTTACCCCCGTCTTTGGTGCCGTTGACTGCCACACAAAAATCTTGAAGAGGACTGGGGTCATAGGCAGAGGCAAGTGAGGAAGCCAAAGCTAGGACGGCAATAGCCAAGTACATAACTTTCATTCTCGTCCACTATATTTGCTTCTAACTTTGTTAATTAGTTGGGTGAATTGAATTTTGATGCACGTTAAGGTTCCTATTTATAGGGATGAACCATTGAATCGGTTATCGATCGTCATTAATTTTTTATTTGACGGTGAACCAGTCCTTAAGATGTACATGTACATGCTTGATCAAAGTGTTGAATGGTTCAGTATTATCTTTTCAACGATGATGTTGCACCTGACCTATTACACCTAATTCAAATATCCATTTACTTACGCTTTCTCCAATTCATTCATCTCAGAATAGTTGTTTAAATTATTTAAAGGATTATCTCAACTCCTCAAAGTAGTTGGTATATATATTTACGCGGCAAAAGGATAGATCATTTCTTCTTTTACCTTTCAAGACATATTATTTTATTACGTCCTTCAATTTTTATGGCTTACTTGAAAATATAAGGCTTCTTCTTTGTCTTCTAATTGATTATTTATGCTTTCTGTGTGAAAACAAATCAAATTTTATATAATCTATTCTAATTGCGTAATGTCTTAAGCTTCATATTTGACGACCATGTTTATGTTGCAGAGCTTTATCTTATTTGTTTTTGAAGTAAATGCTATGAATAAAATATTAAAACCCAATAGTGAAAATTCTGATGTTTTAGTTTTCACGTCAAGAATTCTCTTTCGAGTTTTAGATGAGTACAGTATAATAAATAGGGAAAGAAATATTTTAAGAATTAGCCATTCAGAAAAAATGGAATAAAAATGAGAGTTAATAATGTTTCTTACTAATCCATGGAAATAAATAAAAATATATTTAAACCTACGTAAATAAAATATATTTCGGGATAGCGTTTTTTAGGTAAGTAGAGAGAAATAAAGTGAAATATACTTAAAGCTGTTAACGTTACAGAAACACATGTTAAGAGAAAATTTGAGAACTTCATTGTTTTGTTTTCTCTTTTTCCATCATTTTTACTTATTTTTACTTATTTTTTATTTTATATTGAGATACTAGAACGGCATCCATGTCGTTTATGTAAATTTTTAATGGCTAATTTTGAGGTTATTATGAGTCTTTAAAACACTTATTCTATATTATTTTTATATGATGAAAGAGATTATGTTTAGGCTGTATTAATAATAAACAAATTTATCAACTAAAATTAAAATGTAGTTAGAGTTTAATCTACCAATGTTCAATTTACTATAATTAATTATTATGAATGAATAATTAAAACCTAAAAAATAGGGGGATTATGTGTCAAAATGAATTTTAAAAAAAGAAGAAGAAGAAAGAAAACAAATTTAAGAAGAAAAAAATTACGAATGTATTGAATGGAGAAAAAAATTAATTTTTCATTCTGATTTATAAACTGATAAATTGAGTCTAAATTAAATAATTTAATATTAATCAACATAGGCGAAATTCATATAATAATACCTCGGTAAATTAGGTTTATAAGTTAGGCAAACAACTTTCTAAATGCAAACAAATATTATATTTAAATTTCATCATTTAAGAAAACAAATTCAAGTTATTCTTAATTCAACATCAAATCAGTTGTGATTTATTTTGCTTATATCCGAGCCAACGAAATTAGTTAACTTGTACTTCATGATTTGAGGAAGTAAAAGATATGAGATACACTACCTTACAAATAATGTTGAGTTAGAAACTATAGGAGATATTGCTTATACACGATATTATATTTAGTGATTATAAATGCCATAGGTAATTATTTTATCAATAAGTTAAACGTGATTAGAGAATGTGGTTAAAGTTTATATTGGTTCTACAATTAATATAAAATACTTAGAATAATTGACGTAAAAAATTTATTTTTAAAAATAATAAAAATATTTTTTAAGTTGAATTTAATAATACCCGATATAATAAATGATGTTCTAAGTCATTAATATATCTAAATAAAAATTATTTATTGTGTCACTTGTATTAAAATCGATATAGAATGTTTTTTATCACAATATTTACTTTTTACGAATTTAATAAAGATTTTTTTATGATTATTATTTTACACCTTTTATATTGATCGTATAAATCTGACATAAATTTAGTACTTTTTATGTAAATTGTTAAACAATTAATAAAGTCAATTCTTATTATGTCCATTCTTAACATAATTGTTAAGACAATCTTATGTTAAATATTTTTTTACATAGTTATATTTTTCATAAACATTTTATTAAATAATACAACAACAAATTTTGAAAATTAAATACAATTTAATTGAGAAATACAAACTAATACAGAAAAAATGAGATCATGCTTCATGTATAACCTTTGTTATAAATGAGGAAAAAGTAAGATTATGAGAAGTGGTGGTGCAAACATGAAGAATATGATGATATGTAAAGCAAGAATCTCAGACTTCCTTTTTATGTTTCTAGAATAATACAACTCTTCCCTCGGATTTTATGAAGACTCTAATAATAGTTTATCCACCGATGAGAACCTAAGAAAGAGGGGTTGCTCGGTTGTGTCGATATGCCCTTTTTGGGTAGCAAACAAGAGACCTCAATAAATATTCTTTTAATGCAAGATCATTAAAAGTATTGATCAGTTTTAAGGATGTCTTTCAATGGGATATTGAGGTGGTTAACATGATAGGATTGATGGAATTACTATGACGTTACAGAAAACAATACTTAAACATATTGTTGAAAATTTGTTATAAATCTTTTATTTGAACTAGCCATTTAAATGGAGATGGAATTAAAGAAGAGATTGGGGTTGACAAAGGGAAAATGAATCAAGGAGTTACTTGAAGTATTATGGGCCTACAAACATATACCCTGAAAACTTCCTACAGCCTTATTTATGGCATGCACTCTATGATATTAGTACCAATTGGCGAGTCCTCCTTGCGCCAACAATTGATCGACAAAAGTTCCGATGTGCACTACATTAAAGTAGAATTGAAACTCACTAAAGAACTACGAGATCGTGCTAAAATTCGGGAAGAAGCATGTTTATGTTGCAGAGCTTTATCTTATTTGTTTTTGAAGTAAATGCTATGAATAAAATATTAAAACCCAATAGTGAAAATTCTGATGTTTTAGTTTTCGTGCATGAATTCTCTTTCCAGTTTTAGATAAGTACAGTACCATGCATGAATAGATATAGAAGCAAATATTTTGAGATTTAGTTTCAGAAGCATGGAAAGAAAAAGAGAGAGAGAGTGAGAGGGTTTGGTTAAATGGAAATAAATAAATGTGTGTGTGTGTGTGTGTATATATATATATATATATATATATATATATATATATATATATATATATATATATTTAACTACAGCTTTTATCTTTTTAGTGTAGTCAAATAATTTTAATTTTAGTTTTTAAGTCCCTAATTTCTAAGTTATATAATAAAATAAAATAAAAATATATTTAAAACCTGGATTTTATTGATTAAAACACACGTTATATTATATTATTATATATCGCTTTAAATTACAAAGAAGAAGAATATATATTTTCTGGTTTAAAAACTTTAGTACCATGCATGAATAGATTTTACTAACTTTGATTGACGTAAGTGGCAAGGGACTCACATCAGTCAACCCAAGTGGTTGGAATCAAATCTTAATTCGAGAACATAGAAATTGAAAAAAAAAAAAAAAAAAAAAATATATATATATATATATATATATATATATATATATATATATATATATATATATTCCTGGGTAATGAGAAAAAAATATATTCCTTGGAAATGATAAAAAAAAAACTTAATTTAAATTCATCTAAATTTCAAGTACTATACCTATTAAATATTTTTTATCTCAAATATTTAATTATTTGGAAAAAAAATATTTATGTGTTTCATATAAAAAAAAATTATTTCCACAACAATAAGACAAGATTAAGCAAATATCTTTTGAGATAATTTGGAAATTTTAATTTTAATAAAAAGTTTTACCATTTTACCACTTATAAAATAAATTCTTATATTTTTTTCTCTTTTTTAAGGATCTTCGAAACTTCTTTCTTTGCAATTGCAAGGTAATTCTTTACTATCACTTTCTTTCATGGACTCCTCTTCACTTTGATTTACTAAGTTGAGCAATAAACTTCAAGGCAAATTCTTTCTTCTTCTTTCTTGTCTCTGTTTCTGGATCAATTAACCTATTCATGTCCGGCTTTTACTCTTTTATTTTACCAAAAAGAGAAGCAATATTTATTATTGTTAAATCCATTAATTCTAAAATAGTTTTGATTTTGGACTATCAACCAAGCATTTTAGGATCTTCACGTTAAGTCATCGACTCTCAAAAGTTTCATGCAAAACAATTCCTACTACATTTGTAATATCTTCAAGGTGTTCCACAATTTTTTTGCCTTTTTTTCACTACGAAACTTAATATTATTTTTTTTATTAGAATTATGTTGAGTTCTTCTATTTTCATCATTAGTTCATTTAATAAGATATTTCTCTTTTTCAACATTATTAATTTTGACTATATCAGCCATATCGTCAATAGGTAATATAACACCAAGTTAATGTAACTAATAGGTCTATCAAATGACTGAACATAAAGACTCAGTCCCTTATCGATATATGGTGCAATAGCCCATCAATCTTTAGTCAATAAAAATGTTTGGTGCATGTGAATATGGGTTGGTTTTATGTTGAATGAGGTGACTTAACGTTACTATTATTCTATAGATCATATTTTACATTTTTCAATTTGTTGATTATATATATTATGTTTAAAATGTTGATTTTTTTGAGCTAATAACCAATAAAATTCTTATAAATGGATTATGAGTTAATCATATAAGAGAAATTTTTTTATTTTTATCTAATGTGAGACTTCAAATTCACTTAATAATGACATTACTTATATCGTCGTTTAACTAAGTCGATTATTGAACGAACCATTGACTTTGATACAAGAGTTTAGTCTTTCCGAGAGGAACTATAATAATAGGGAGATTCTCATAAATGAGTTATGAGTCAATCATATAAGAGAATATGATACGATCTTCAACCTAAAACCTTAAGACATTAGGTTATAAGTATTTCTCACTTATAAATTAATCAACTTTCTCATTTTTACTCAATCTAAAACTTCAAACTCACACTTAAATTCTCAACATAAAATACTCTCTACGAATAGACGAAGAACCAACTTAGAATCACCTTGCAAATCACATAAAATCATGTTGGGTGATTGCAATAAGAATTCACATAAGTGTACATTGAGTGATTACGAAGGATCACGTTGGAGGATCTCTTATGATCACATTAGGAGATCTCTTAGCATCATACTCTGAAATTAATATGATCACAGTCGCAAATGCTTTGTTTAAAGCTAATCCACCTATTTCTACTCAGCTTCTAACCAAAGCTTTCCAGGTGGACAAGAGCGTAATTGATTACCTTCAAAAGCAATTCTGGTCTGACAACAACTAGTTCATCCGAGGACGCGGATCATCCTTTCATTCTTATTGTAATTGATTTCATGTTTCGATCATGATAAAACATTAGATCATTAGAATAATAATTGTTACACAATCAAGAATCTGATATGATTGTAATTATTGTCAAATATTGTAGTTAGCTTAAATTGGGATACCTACTTAATATAGGAGAGATACTTGCCTAATTTCTACAGATTTAGCTTATTTCTCTCCTAATGTTATGTAACGGTCAGTGTATTCACTTGTATATATTTTGCCTCTCAATCAATGAAATATATGCTCTCGAGGTATACTTTCATGGTATCAGAAGCATCTCTATAATCAACTCTGATTTTTTTTACCTCTGCAGCATGTCTACACATCCCCCACTGACTTCAGAACGTGCAGCCCTCCAAACTCAACCTGCACACGCTTTTTTGGCCAAACAACCACCTTCTCGCAGTCGTCCCAAATGTGCGCATTGTGGCATCCTTGGTCATACGGAGCATAAGTGCTATAAGCTTCACGGATATCCGCCAGGGCATCGCTACTACCATAAGGGGAACACTCATGGACAAGTCATCTACTTCATCCACTCGTGCCGACCAACGTAATGATGCTCGTGAAAGATCCTTTATCTGCAGATTCGTTACAGCAACTTCTTCGCCTATTAAGGGAGGTAAACCAACCTAAGGCCAATCTCACAGGTGCGTCTCTAGCTCTTTATTCTTCCCTCTCGTATGCCTACTCGAATGGGTTATTGATACCGGCGCAACAGATCACGTTTCTTTCACCCCTTCCTCTTTTCAACAACCACCTATTCCTTCTTCTCTTCATAAATCTATTTGTGTTCCTAATGGTCATTCGGTTCCTATACATGGCTTTGGAAATGTACACATAACATCAGATATCATCTTGACTGATGTCTTATTTGTACCCTCATTCAAATTCAACCTTTTATCTTTGCCAAAACTCACCCAGACTACTAATTGTTCTGTTTCCTTTTATCCTGATCATTGTGTATTTCAGGACCATTTGACGAAGAAGGAGATTGGTCGGGGCCATAAAAAGGGTGGACTCTACTTCCTTGATGTCTCTACCTTTGTTGCCGCCATCATCACTACCTCATCCACCACTTGGCATGCTAGGTTTGGTCATCCATCATCAAGTGCCCTCAAGTGTTTAGCTCCTGTTCTTGGTTTCAATAAAGACTCTTGTGACCATTGTGAAGTCCGTCATTTGTCAAAACAAACAAGACTCCCTTTTCCTTTACACACACCCACTAGCAAGTGGTTTGTTTGAATTAATTCATGTTGATATTTGGGGAAAGTATGCCACACCTACAAAAAATGGTCATCATTATTTTTTAACTATTGTTGATGATTTTTCCCGTGTCACATGGACCTATCTCATGAAATACAAGTCGGATGCCTATTCTTTGTTAGTTCATTTCTTAGCTTATGTTCGAAATCAATTTCAGACATGTGTAAAAACAATCCGCTCCGATAATGGCACTGAATTTACAAATAATTCATTTCAGAAAATTCTTTGTGACTCGGGATTCTCCAACAATTCTCTTGCCCGGGTACCCCACAACAAAATGGTGTCGTCGAGCGTAAGCACCGACATCTTCTCAATGTTGCACGGGCTTTACGTTTCCAAGCCGATCTTCCACTAATTTTTTGGGGTGATTGCATTCTTACCGCCACTTATTTAATAAATCGAACACCATCCAAAATTTTAGCCGGTCAAACTCCTTATGAAAAACTCTATGGCCATCCACCCGATTTCACTCACTTGCGTACATTTGGTTGTTTGTGTTATGCATCCACTTCACATGATCATCCAAATAAATTCGCACCTAGAGCTAGACGTTGCATCTTTGTGGGGTACCCTGCTGGTCAAAAAGCCTTTAAACTATATGACATTGATCATCATAAATTTCTAGTTAGTCGAGATGTTATCTTTCATGAAACAATATTTCCATTCAAGAATAGTAAGGCTTTGCATGATTTACACATGGAACGACACCCTCTTCCTCTACCCATTTGTGATCAAGAACCCCTAAATTCAACCAACCCCACACCTCCTAGAAACACTTCTCCACTCCCTCCTCCTGCAGAACCCAATGATAATGAACCCACACATACTGTTGAACCCTTGAATCCCTCCCCGCAGGTGACCACCCTTGAACCCACACATGCGGTTGACACTCCTACAGGTGACTACCCTTGCACCAAGACACTCCGAACGTCTCAAAAAGCCTCCAGCGCACCTTGCTGATTACATGTGCAATATGGCCTCCGCTCAATCTTCTTCCTCGTCTCCAGGTATGCAATATCCTATCTCACACTCTCTTTGCTCAAATCCTTACTCAAATAACCATCTCCATTTCATTAATTCTATTATCATAAAAACATGATGAAAATAAGTATATGAAAAGTAACCCTACTGATTAAATCGATGTATAAATCATTAGAAATTCAAAGTTTAGAACATTCATATCATGTTGATTTTTTTGATGTGTTACAAATACGAAGGATCTCATCACATCTCAATTTTTATGGTTTATAAAATAAGCTTAAATAATTTGTATTGATTTCTATGACACTTTACATAACTGAGATTGTCTATTTATAAAATTGATATAAATTTTTCTTAACAAAACTTACAATTTCTAAAATTATCTTATAATAGAGCATTATCATTTCGAAGCTCTTAAATCACCACCATCACCATTTCGAAGCATTATCATTTCGAACAAACAACAGAATGAGTTGCATGGATCAAATCAACCCCATACGTTTAAAAAACGATTTAAATAAATAAAAAGTTGCATTAAATATTAGAGGGAGAGCTATGATGCCCATAATGGTTAGTAGAATTATCTCCAATGGAGGATTTGTGTGCTCTCTCAAAAAAATTTGACATGATAAACCTATGAAATAATTATGTAAAAAAAGCCTTGAAGTAGAAAGGTTGGACAGTCCCTTTTTATTAAACGAAATAAAAACCCACATACGTTTTATTTAGTACATTTGTAATTAAAACATTGCATGGGGTGATTGAGACATATATAGAAGTCTCCAATTATTCAGTAATATAGCCCGTATTCTGGACTTAGTTCTTCCGAAGTTCATCAATAACTTTGTTATCAACTTGAAAAGCTTTGGCGAGAATATCTGTAGAAAGTTGTGGATTAGACTTAAACACAGCATCTGGAATATTGGTAGTTCCTGGATTTTGACTGCTAAAAATAGCAAGGGAAGCAGCAGGGGTCGTCCCCACGTTCATGTTGAAATGAAGGAGACCAAATGGGAAGATAAAGACATCTCCCTTGTACAGCGTTTTAGTGAAGAGGCGATTTCCATCTTCAGCGGAGGTCACAAATCCAGCATAGATTACTCCCTCAAGGACATAAAGTATCTCTGTGGCCCGAGGGTGAGTGTGGGGAGGGTTTATACCCTTTGCTGCATAATCTATGCGAACCAAAGATACGCCCATTGTGTTTAAACCAGGTAGTTGTTCAACAGACACCTGGGTCAATGCTACTCCTAGAGGATTGTTAGGCTTTACAGGTTCCGTATGCTTGTAGAAATCTTCAGCTTTCACAAGTTTAGGGTCTTTGCATAATTTTCCATTCACAAATACTGCAATTAAGAAAGACAAATAGTTTTTATCAAAAATTCTTCACAAGATCAATATATATTATTCAAGCTAAAATAAGTTTATGCAGTAAGAATTTATAGGAATGTTTGCACATACGCCCATTGGTTTCGTTGGCTGCTACACAAAAATCTTGCAGAGGACTGGGGTCATAAGCAGAGACAATAGAGGATGTCAAAGCCAAGATGGCAACAAGCAAGTACACGATAACTTTCATTTTTTTCACCAGGTAACCAAGTACACTCTTAATCGCCAGTGAGATTGATTTTTGTTTCATGAGAAGCTTCTTATTTATAGGGATGAAGCATCGAATTGGTTCTCCTCCGTCTTTACCCTAATTAATTCTTTATTTGATGATGGCGAACTATTTTTCGAAGAGTCCCCACTTGCTTTAATTTGCACCTAATTCTCGTTATCTCTAATTACTGTTATATTTTAATAATTCCGAGCTCATTATGTAATTAAAAATCAGTTTTAACTTTTTCTCATGCTTCCATTACCATTTATAACAGGTTTTAGAGTGGTTGAGTACGTTGTGATATTATTCCTAATCATTTATTGAATAATTTGAAATTATAAAATAATATTATATTTATTGAAATATCTTGATTATTATTAATATCTGATAATATCTACTCTTTAAAAATATTAATTCCAATACTTAAATATATATCGCATATCTAATAAGTACCTACGTGTATGTAGATATACATAAAGTCACATATGTCATAGAGTGTATATCGTTGAATGGGTGAATTTTGGACCAAAAAGAGTTGGTTGATCTCTACAGTATGTGAAGAGTTGTGCAATTAAATTTTGATGTATTAAAAATCTGACCCATAAATAATGAAATTTGGTTCATATATATATATATATATATATATATATATATATATATATATATATATATATATATATATATAACTTAATCATTAAGATGAATTATTATTTTAAATTATTAAAACATAAGATTTTAATTCTTACTCTTAGCGTGAGTAGAATATTTTTTTATTAAAAAGGATATCCATGCTAGAAGAAAAATTAGAGACTTTTTTTATATTTATAATTTATTTTTTTATGTAATAATTAAGATGAGTCAGTATTTTGGATTGAGAATGACAGGTAAATTATGAGGGTTCCTCTTAGAGTAAGTGGATCTTTTGATATATCAAATCATTGTATCTAAAGTTATATTTAGTTGTAATTAGTTTGTCATGTTTATTTTTGGTGGGACTTATAATTAGTTTGTCATGTTTAGGTATAATTTATATATTTGTTAGGTACTTGGTTTAATAAAGTTAAAATATAATATAATAAGTATGTTTTTTAGTTTTATATATTACAACGGACTTTTTTTAATGAAAGGAAAAATTTGAGAGAATTAAGCAGACACGGCAGAGGTTAGGTTTAGAAATTAAGTAATCATCTTGTCTCTCTCTAAGTTATCAGTTCTATCCCGACGTTATCTTTAAAGATTAATTATATTTATAATAAATTAATTTTACTATTTTTATGTATTTTTTATATAAATAAATATTTAAATTTATAATTATTAATAATTAAATATATATTTTAATTTATTATATTTATATTAAAATATATATGTAAAAAATATTTAATTATTTTTTCTTTATACAGATGTAAAATCATTATATTATTATTATTATTATACTGTAATATTATAAATAAAAAATAATATTAGTTACTAATAATATTTATCTAAAATATTTAGAAAAAAATAAGGAATAATAAAAATTAATGTTGTGTTTATTAAATTAGTTGAAAAGATTGAAAAAAAATTAATTAGAGAGATTAAAGAAATGTAAAAAAGTGAAAGGTAAGAGAAAGAATAATGTAATGACGTAATTGATATAAAAGATTAAAAAAAAAGACAAAAGAATTAAAAAGTTAGTAGAAGAAAAGTAATAATAATAATAAAATATAAAAAATTTATCTTATATGTAATAAAAAAAGAAAAGGAAATACTTTTAAAATTTAAATTTAAATATAAACTCTGGACTGGAGACGAGAACATGGCTCGGTGGGGATTGCATTATCTATCCTCGTCCCCGACTTTTTAAAGTGGGAAAAACCCGAACTCACCTCCTCCTCTAGTCAACTCAATTTTTCTCCGTCAAACTCGGAGTAGGAACATATCAATCCCGCGTAGATATGAATTTAATTGTCATCTCTAGCATTATCTCTCAATTATTGCAGGATGAGTTATATATTTCTTTTAAACGAATTGGTTAATATAATTTGATTTTAAATTGAAATGTTTAATAAGAATGGAGACCCGTTTGGAGACTTGGATGTCAATTAAGATTCATGACAATTTCAAAAATTAGTTTAAAAAAATATCAACTAACTAAAACAACTTTAACATAAAGAATTATAATATAAACTTTCCATTATAAATAAAAATACGCAGAAAGTAAGTTGAATATCATATCAATCCCAAATAAATATTACTAGTGAGAATTGTAATCTTTATAAATTATAAATAAAACGTTAAAAATACTAAAGTCTATGTAAAATAGTAAATAAATAGTAGAAGTTTAAGAATATACGTAAAAGTATAGTGGTCATAGTTTTCTAATTTTTATTTTGTCACACTGGTTTCTAACCCTATAAGATGGATAGTAGGATTTTAATCATTCATGATCTAATTAGTTAGATATAATTGAATTCAGATTTTATTAAGCAGATTCCATTACAATAGTAGTTCGTTGTGTGTGTTATCTATCAAGACAGATCCTTCAATTCTCTTACTTGTTTTAAGTGTCATATAACTCATATTTTTGGGACAATTTTGGAAAAACAATTAGTTATAATTCCTAAACTGGTTTTGGTTTATTGTGTTTGTTAGTTGTCCAACTTGAATTTTAGGAGCTTTGATACTAGTTTTAATCCTTTGCTAGAATTGGCATGTATTCATACCCATACAAACTGGTTATTTTGGTTTTGACTTTTATGTGATAAATGAGATTGTGAAAATTATGGAGACATGTTTTGGTCTACATAATGCTCCTGTGGATAATTAATTATGCTTTTGTCATGGCTTGGCTTGATTTCTTCACTTTAAGTTTCTCTAATTTAGATTATATTTTTTGGAGATTAAATAAACTTCTTGTCGTAGAGGAAATTTTAAAAATCTTGATCAATAATTTTGACAAAAATAAATAATATAATATTAATAAATAAAAAATAAAAAATATCAAAATATTAAAAATCAAATTTATAAATATATATGTACATTTTTTGACAAAAATAAATAATATATTATTAATAAATAAAAAATAAAAAAATATTAAAAATAAAATTTATAAATATATATGTAAATTATAAACTTAAGGAGGAAACGTGATCCCTTCACTTTCATGTTGATTTGACATACTTTGTAAAGATGAACAATCATAACATTCAACATGCCTTGTAAAAAGATGAACAATCATAACATTTAAAGATGAAGAATAAACCCCCACGGTACTCCAATCGAAAGAAAAACTTGTCGTTGCATAATTTGTGGTTGAGAGGGTACTAGAGCCTGTGATCGTGGCAATTGATTAGACATTCAAACAATGTTAACAAAATCATTCTCCAACTATTGGTCCATTAAAGATTCAGTTTAAACTTCAAAATATAATTCTAACAATTGTGGTACCCCAAGTAGATATTTACTGTGAATTAGTAGTCATTATTTCAATCAATTATTTTAGTTCCACCCCTTCAACACTAATCATACTCCTTTCATGACAGTCAAACCTTCGTAAAAGTGTTAGGATAGGATTTGGTAGGGTGGAAACAACTTGCATACAGTCTTTTAAATCTCTTCCAATATCCAACCAAACTCTCTATCTTTTTCCCACATGTCACAAATTTCATTTCTTACGGAACTAACTCGAGATATTGAAAAAATTCTCTAAAAATAATCTCTTCAAGCTATCATATGTAGTGTTTGATCTAGGTGACAAATAATATAACCAAACTTTAGCTTCTTCCTATAGTGAAAAATATAAATATTTTGAACTTATCTCTCTCGCCCGTGACAGAACAAATAGGATAAACTCCTTTAGGTGTTTAAGTTAATGATAAGTGATAAAAAGTTAATATAATTATGTTTTTAGTTATTATAAAATTACTTAATTTATGTTAATTCTAATATATTTTTCTCCAAATGTAGAAGAAGAAGAATTTCAAGATAGGAGTCGCTCGAGCGAGATAAACTCTTGCTTGAACGAAATTTAGTTTAAATTTTTTGGAATTCATTTGCTCAAGCCATTATTTTTGCTTGAGCGAAAATTAGTTAAACTTCTCTGAAACTCAGTTGCTCAAACTAGCAATTTTCTACTTAAGCGAAAATACTTAACTTTCGCTTGAACGAGTGTTGTCACTTAAGCGAAAAACACGAAGCCCAAAAGTCAAATTTCTCCTATAAAAAGATAAGACAAGTTTTGCGAGGGGGATGCGTTTTTGGAGAGAAGAGGCGCGACTCATCGCTAAGGTTTCGTCCAATCTTCATCAATTTTTCACTTCTTCCTCATTTTGAGCATTGTGATGGCCACCATGAGTGGCTAACTTCATTCTCTTGGGATTGGGTGCACTTCCTTTGAACTCTTTTGTATCTTGGTGATATTTTGAGATATTAATCTATGTTTTGATATTGTTATTCTAATCTTTTTATCTTAGAATGATTTATTCTTGATGTTTGGGATATGATTTTGAACCCTAGATCATGATAAAAATATTTGTTATGCTAATTGTCAGGAATGGAATGAATGTATCAATTGTTTAATACCCTAACCCTTATAATGCTAGAAAATATCTTAATTATATGCGAAATCAACATTTATTAGGTTTTCTTATGAATTTTATGTGTGAAAAATCAACATGAATGATTTGAGTAGGTGACATCAACATTGTTAGGTGAATTGATGATCTTAATTGGACATAGTCATTGCAAAAGAGGAAAAATAAAGGAAGTCAATTCTAAGTACTTTTAATTGATTTTTTCTAAACAATTTAGAGTTCTTTGTCATTTAATTTCAATTCAACTCTTTATGCAAAACTCATCTTGTTTTAATCCACTTAGTAAGCATATATAATTGATAATTTCCATTGAAACCGTTCTTCGTGGGATCAATTTTTATTTAATTGAAATATTATACTGCGATTGATAATTTTGGTATGCTTACCAATAATTCAACAATAATTCAACAGTTAATCTTCACATGACAGATAACATAATCTTGGCAAGAAATATATTAAATAAATTTTAAGAATAAAAGACACATCATGCCGCACAAATTATGATAGGTAAGATATGGTACAACTAATGTTTTTAAAGTTTCCGCACCCTATAATATTTAGATTAGAAATATTTTCAATGGAAGAAGATGCAAACTCTAACTTTCTATAATTACTTAAAAAAATGACATCATTCTTTATTCAATAATTTTTATCATAAATATTTAAAAAAATTAAAAATTTATAATAAATAAAAAAATTATAAAACGTTTATTTGGTTTAGTTTGAGTTTTCTTATTAAATTAAAATCAATTAAATTAAACCGTACTTGAATTGAATTTTATAATAATGTGTTTTTATTTCTTTAAGTTTTTAATAGTTATAGAAGAACATTTTTTTCTCCCACGATAACTATAAAGATATACAATAAAGAGGATTATTCAGACACATCTTTTATGTTTACTTGCGTCACGATACCTCGGTACAGGTTTATGCGGGTTGAAGGTGACTTTGACATCGATAATCTGACATGGAGGAAGGATCAGTAAGCTAATCTCTTTTCATTAGTACCGAAAGAAGTTTTTTTTTTTTTTTTTTATGTGTGATTCATTTTCAATGTCTATGGTTAATTTTATATATCCATTAATTACGCCGGATTGATATATATATATATATAAGATCTTGCGTAAATTGATTTTGATTATTAAAGAAGAACAAACAATTACTTAAATCACACTAGTATAGCATAGGAAGTACATTTTATAAAAGGATTCGACAATTGTTTTAAAATCAATGTTGAAACCTATGAACAAAATTTATAACTCCATCCCGTAGCCAACATAAAACCCTTCTTTGTTTGCTACCATTTCTCCCTCTCAACGTCACCATCATCTGTCAGTTTGTCGTTCTTCATTGTGGGTCCTTTATTTGGTGTGTGTGCCCCATTCTTTTTTCTCCCTGCAACCTTTCACTGTCACTGTCACCATGCATGACGAACACTATCTTTCACGACCTACCACCAGGTAACACTGCAAGCCACCACTGGAAGTCGTCACCAGTGCGAGCTGCTAACAAAAGATTCGGTGTTTATCTGCAGTGCCTCCTCTAATGCAATGCTAACGCTCTGTCTCTACTCTGCCACTACTTTGCACCTATTCCACTACTCCGCTCCGCCATTGCCAACGACAACAGTTTGGCAAAGATAACGAGACAAGCATCGTAGTAGTCACACCTCCACGAGCCACCAGCGTAGCATTTAGAACCTTTGTGAGCCACTACCGTAGTAGGAAAAACCTCCATCAAATGCAATGCAACCGTTAGGCTTCCAAGTATGTTTTATACATCAGATGTTATGGAACTGATGTAGAAAATGATCCACTTTCTACATCGATTAAGTCTATATCAGTTGTGGAACCAATGTAGTATAAGTCAAATAATCAATGTTATTTTCTATCAAACCTATACATTATGAAGGCTAGTCTCAAAAGAAGCAAACAAACCCTAATAAATAATACTAATAAAATAGGAAACAACAACAATGGCGAAGGATTTACCCCTTAAGAATAATGTACCACATTGGGCTAATGTGGATATCTTCGAGGAGAGAGACACCGGAAGCTTCAAACACATCCTTCCTTCTGAACGAAAGGAAATACATTTATTAAATGTCAATCTATACACTATAAAATTCAAATTCAAATAAGAATCATGAAAAATTAAACTGAAACCCTCATTAAATGGAGATGGAAATAGAAATGAAGACATAAAGGAAATCATATGTTATCGAAAGATGTAGTTATACAACAATCAATCAATGAGTCATAATGATAGTATGATTGTAGATCATGTTTTAACATAAAATCAATTGGTAATATATGGAGTAGTCTAACATGTATTTAAATTATACCAAATGACATGAGGTAGGCGACGTGGGACTTTCAACACGCCCCCCTCCAACAAAGCTTGTCGGACCTGACAAAGGGTACTTTTGACCCAACTAAAGGGTAACTTTTGACCCATGACAATAACCGGAAAGATGTTGGGTTTTGGCTCTGATACCATCTTGATAAATCTGCAACTCATCAAAGATAAAGAACATAGAGAAAGAGAGAACAAAAGACACATTCTTCGAAGATTAAAACAAATATTATTTTTCTCTTCTGTACAAAAACACATTCTTCTGATATATATATATATATATACCAGAAGTAAGAATGGAAACGTAACAGACAAAATAAAAGAAAGAAAGTAACAACCCTATGAAACGTTGTGGTTGAAGGTGATAGGTTTGTTATGGAGTTGATTATTTTGACAGCCCCCCTCAAGCTGGGAGTATATGTCAAGCATTCCCAGCTTGGACATAAGATTATTAAAAGTAGCAGGGGGAAGAGGTTTTGTAAAAATGTCAGCTTGTTGGTGATGAGTGTTGATGTGAAGAATTTTAATTAGACCTTGTTTTATCTTCTCTCTAATCAAGTGACAATTGATTTCTATGTGTTTGGTTCGTTCATGAAAGACTTGAATAGATGCAGTTTGAATCGCAGATTGATTGTCACAATACAAAAGAGAAGGTTATTGATGTTGAATTTTGAGATCTTGCATAAGGCGATGAAGCCATTGTATTTCACATGTTGTGGAGGCAATAACACGGTATTCTGCATCTGAAGAACTTCTGGAAACTGTTTGTTGTTTCTTAGATTTCCAACAAATTGGAGAATTTCCAAGATAGATGATGTAGCCAATGATGGATCGGCGAGTATCAGAACAACTAGCCCAATCAGAATCACAAAAAGCTTTGAGTGTGGAGTTGCTAGTAGAATCAAAGAAAATACCCTGTCCAGGGTGCTGTTTGAGATATCTAAGAATTCTCATAGAAGCCCAATCATGAAGATTTGTAGGTGCAGCAATGAATTGACTTAAATAATGGACAGCAAAGGCAATATCTGGTCTGGTGTGTGTTAGATAAATTAACCTGCCAATAAGCCTGCGAAAGGGAGCTGGATCATGGAGGGGTTCTCCTATTTCTGTAGTCTTGTGTCTGGAAAAATTCATAGGCGTAGAGATTGGAGCAGAATCAAGCATTCCAGCTTCTTTCAGGATATCGAGAGTGTACTTATGTTGGCAAAAATGTATACCTTTACTGCTCCTTGCAATTTCAAAACCAAGAAAATATGTCAAGATTCCTAGATTTTTAATTTTGAAAGCATGATCAAGAAGAGTAGTAACTGTATTTATTTCATTGATATCGTTCCTAGTTAAAATAATATCATCTACATATATGAGTAAAGTCGTAATGTGGGAATCATTAATTTTAAGATACAAAGAATGATCGGCAAAAGATTTTTTATAATTGTGAGAGCTCAAGAAATCAGAAAGCTTAGAATACCATGTCTACTAGCTTGCTTAAGGCCATACAAAGATTTATGAAGGTAACAAACATGACTCTTATCAGGATAATTAAAACCTGGAGGTAATTGCATATAAACTTCTTCATCTAAATTTCCATGCAAGAAAGCATTGTTTACATCTAATTGTTTTAAATGACAATTGTGCATAGATGCTAAAGATAGAAGTAACTTGATAGTTGTGATTTTTGCTACTGGTGAAAAGGTTTGTAGATAATCCAAACCTTCCTTTTGTGTGTATCCTTTTGCAACCAAACAAGCCATCAACTCTTCTGTCATAGCATGCTGCCAGTGTTCATGTTGAGATGCAGCTTCATAAGAATTTGGTTCAATGTTTGAATCAATTGAAGAAATAACCTGCTGAAAAGAAGAAGACAACTTTGTCATTGATATGTAAGAGTTAATGGGGTATTTGATTTTTCTTTTAGTTTTGGTAGCAAACGATGTTTGAAAATCTTGTAAATAAGTAGGAACATTTTTATGTCTAGTGGATCGTCTTAGATGTTCTGTTTCCACATTCTTGTTACAATCAGAATCAGGACCATCAACATTATTGTCAATAATAGAATCAACAGGATGTTGATTTAAATCAGTATTATTGTCAATACTAGAATTATTATGCAAATTAGCATGATAGGAAATATCATGAGTGTTATCAACCTCATAATTTTGGGATAAAATAGAAACAGGAGTGAATATTGAATTATTAGAATTATCTCGAGAGAGAAGTTTAAAAGGAAACTGATTTTCATAAAATATTACATTTCTAGAAACATGAATAGAATGAGTTTGTAAATCATAAACAATGTATCCTTTTACATTCGGTTGGAGACCAAGAAAAATACCAGCTTTAGCTCTTGGATCCAATTTGATTCGATTGGCTGAAATAGTAGAAATGTAGCAAAGACATCCAAACACATGTAATTGCCTCATGTCAAACATTTGTCTATATAACTTTTCAAACGGAGTGCAATTTTCAAGAAAAGGTGTAGGTAAAATATTTATCAACATGACAGCATACTGTACAACAAAATTCCAGAAATTTTGAGACAAGTTGGATTGGAATAACAAGGCACATGTTACACTCAAAATATGTTGGTGTTTCTTTTCAACTAAGCCATTTTGTTGAGGGGTCTCAATACAGCTAGTCTGATGAATAATTCCCTTCATATTGAAGAATTGAGTCATTTTAAATTCTAAACCATTATCACTTCTAATTACCTTAACATTTTTCTGAAATTGAGTTTTAACCATGGAAACAAAGTTAATCAATATCACACGTGTATCGGCCTTAGTTTTCATAACATACAACCATGTAAATCTAGAGTGATCATCCATAATGGTGAGAAAGTATTTATCTCCATTTATAGAACTAACCGGGCAAGGGCCCCAGATATCCACATGTATCAAATAAAAAATACAAGCAGCATAAGAAGAACTATTTGAAAAAGGTAACTTTCGTTGCTTAGCTAAATGACAAACATCACAACTCATTTTTTCAGGCAAAGTTATGTAGGGAAACTGTTTATGGAGAATAGTCATTCTATCAAGAGAAGGATGCCCAAGACGCATGTGCCAAATGTCACGTTTAACGATACTATTACAAGCATGAAGGTCATTCTTGATGACGTATAAACCATATTTTATCCTAGTTGTACCAATCTTCTTGGTGGATTTCTTGTCCTGGATAAGACACTCATTAGTGGTGGAAAAAATAACAATGTAATCTGAACAAGAAACTAACTTAGAAATAGAAACAAGATTATATGAAAAACTGGGAACAAAGAACACATTCTGAATACCCATATTTTCAAAAATTTAGCAAAACCCGAATGGGTAGCTTGAAATTTAGTTCCATCAGGTAAGTTGACAATTATAGGAGATATAGGTTTAAAATTGATTAGGTTTGAAAGAGAACAACAAATATGATATGTGGCACCAGAATCAATTATCCAATCATCATGAGAGATAAAATTGGTTAGAGAAACAGAAGTTTTACCTTGATTCATTGTGCTGTAGGATACAGTAGAACCAACCTGGTTAGCTGAAACATTTCCAACATCTTGATTATTTGTCTGTTGTAGTAGATACATCAAAGCATGATATTGCTGTTGTGAAAGCTTGAAGTCCTGATTTTGAGCATCATGATCGGTTTTTGCTTCTTGAATGGTATCAAGATTATTCACAATAACGGACTTACTATTATATGTCTTATACCCTGGGGGAAACCCATGTTTCTTGTAACAATTATCTACCGTGTGACCATTCTTTCCACAAAAAGTACAGATCTTTTTCCCATTTCCATTCTTAGCATTCCTATTTTCATTATTTCCTAGGAAACCATATTTACGAAAGCAATTTGACTCCATGTGGCCAGTCTTCTTACAATAAGTACAAGTAACAGTGCTACTATTGATCTTGGTTTCGATTTCATTCATGAAATTACTTCCTCCAATCTGTCTTTCTTGTTGAACTACATAAGAAAATATTTTTGAGATGGAAGGAAGAGGATTCATCATTAAAACGTGATAGACAACGTTGTTATACTGATCATTAAGTCCTCTCAAGAATTGCATAGCAAGATCTTCTGTCTTCCTTTGATGAAAAGAGACAATGAGACCACATGAACATTTCTGCGAACATTTACAAGTCAAATCTGAACGAAAGCTATCCAATTCATCCCATATAATGCGCATTTTCGTGAAATATTTAGTAACAGATAAACTCCCTTGTTTAAGAGATGAAACCTCTAACCGTAGTTCTGATATACAAATCAAATTACCTTGAAAGAATCTTGATTTGAGGTCTTTCCATATTTCTTCATATTTATCCATCCATACGATGCTTTGTCTGATGGAAGGGGAAACAGAATGAATTAGCCATGTCACCACCATGTTATTGCACCTCTTTCATGCTTGATATGTAGGATCTATTTCTGTTGGTTCAGGAGCATACCCATCGATAAATTCAACTTTATTTTTGGCGCTGAGGGCAATGGAAAAAGATTTGCTCCAAGAATGATAATTGTGTGATTCCAACAAAGGGGAAACAAGAGAGATAGTTGGGTTTTCACTGGGATGCAAATACAGAAAATTATTCAACGTATTGAGATTATGAATGGGTATAACAACCTTTGATTCACTACTTGAAGTCATGATAAAAGGGACGAAACAGGAAACAAAAAGAATGGAATAACAAAATCAGAGATACACAGCAGAGCTCTTCTAATGACATGAAATAGGCGATGTGGGACTTTCAACACGCCCCCTCCAACGAAGCCTGTCGGACCAGGCTAAAGGTACTTTTGACCCAACTAAAGGGCAACTTTTGACCTATGACAATAACCGGAAAGATGTTGGGCTTTGACTCTGATACCATGTTAAAGTTCCAACATAAAACCAATTGGCAATATGTGGAGTAACCTAACACATATTTAAATCATACTAAATAACATGAAATAGGCGATGTAGGACTTTCAACAGTTCACCATAATTGGAACCCAACTACTACTACTTCATAGGATGACACTAACACTTGTCAACTAGATCAGTACCGAGTTATGAGTTAAGGATGATCTAACTTAGTAAGAGTGGTGTTAGTAAGAGTGGTGGTTGAAGAGGTTTGAGATGTTGAACTCCTATCCAGTACCCACTAAAGAGGTGAAGTTAGTGGGGGTAGACCTTCAAACCTTCATTGCTTTTGTTGTAACTTATGTTGAACATAATTAGATTACAAATTATTAGAATTTCTATATATCTATCTTGTAATTATATTTAAATCTAAAAATTAATGATAATCAATAAGGCATATGAAAAATTATAAAATTAACCATTGCTTTTATTTTGATTCTTAAACCTTTACTGTTTGTTTTTTGTTTTCATTTAACTTAATACTTTTACTGTTTCAATTAAAATTTCTTTAATAATCGAAAACTTGTCTATTATAATTCATTAATTCTCCTAAGGAGTAATGAGTGCTATTTAAGGTTTTATTTTACATTGGAAAATAGTTACTGTAAAAAGTGTTCTTGTTTCCTGTTATTTTTCTTTTGCTTTTGTTATATACTGAAAAACTTTAAAAAATTAATTACCGTCACTCAACGGATTTATTGCAATTTTGTTTGTGGTTTGATCCAATTAAAGTATGATTTTGGCAATGATTTCTCTTTCACTCAACCATTTATATTACTAGAGAAATTAAATTCACTAGGCGAAAATTGTTAAATAGAAACTTTTTCTATGATTTTCTGTTAGTTTGTTTCTTGTTTATGCCTTTCAATTTCATATATTATGTAATTATTAATTAACTCAAAATATATAATATTATATTTAAATATAATAAACTGTTTAATTCAATTCTTAATTTAAAATATGAAATTCAAATCAAATAATTAAGTTGAAAAAAAGATTTAAAAAATCTAAAAAAAGAAAATTGCTGACGATTTTTTTATTTTTTAATCAGTTTACTGTTATTGATGGTGGGATTGTTTCATTTTTAATACCCCTGAAGAGGTGTACAACACCTCGAAAAGAACAGTGTGTGCCGTATCACTCTTCTAAGAAAAACAACTTATTGAAAAGAACAAATTCGATTCTTTTAGTCAAATATATGCATCAAAGGTTGAGCAGTTGACTACATAGAATAGAAACAACTTATAAATAAAACTCACATTTTAATTTATTACAATAGAAACTGCATGTAAAAAGATGAATTGGATGAAGTGATCGAAACATGAAATCAATTACAATAAGAATGAAAGGATGATCCGCGTCGTGGGATGAACTAGTTGTTGTCAGACCAGAATTGCTTTTGAAGGTAATCAATTACGCTCTTGTCCACCTGGAAAGCTTTGGTTAGAAGCTGAGTAGAAATAGGTGGATTAGCTTTAAACAAAGCATTTGCGACTGTGATAGTTCCTGGATTTTGGCTGCTGAGACCAGCAATTGCAACAGCATTGCCGTATCCAACATTCAGTTGGAAATGAATGAGACCAATCGGAAACACAAACACATCACCCTTGTTAAGTACTTTGGTGAAGAGCCGATTTCCATCTTGATTCGAGCTCACAAATCCAACGTACAGACTTCCTTCAACAACAAAAAGGATCTCTGTGGCGCGAGGGTGAGTGTGGGGAGGGTTTAAACCCTTTGCTGCAAAATCTATGCGAGCCAAAGATATCCCAAGCGTGTTTAATCCTCCTAGCTGATCCACAAACACTTGACTCACTTGTGCACCAAGTGGGTTCGAAGTATTCCCAGCTTCCACATGTCTCAAGAAATCTTCTGCTTTCACAAGTTTTGCGTCTTTGCAGAATTTTCCATTCACAAATACTGCAAATGAACAATGCAAAATAAATCAAATTACGATAACTACTTCAACAAGATATATACATAGATATTATGAAACATGCAAGCTTAAAATTTGTGTAGGAATGTAGATGTACAAACCCCCATCAGTTTCGTTGGTCGCCACACAAAAATCTTGCAGAGGACTAGGGTCGTAGGCAGACACAAGTGAGGATGATAGGGCAAAGATGGCGACAAGTAAGTGCACTGCTTTCATTTTTTTTCCTCCTAATTATATTTCACTCTTATCTTTATTGATTCTGCTGTATGGAGTCGCTTGTGAGAATTGAATTTTGATTCATGTGACACTGCTATTTATAAGGATGAAGCATTGAATGGGTTTGAAGTTCATCATACCCAATCTAATTTTTTATTTGATGATGAATCATTCCTTACCCACTAATGCGTACTTGATCAAAGAGTAGACTAATTAATAATTCCACATGAAAAAAGAAAAAGGCAAGTGTTTTTGTTTTACCTCGTCCACTTGGCTTTCTCTGTACTTGGTCCTGCACGTAATATTATTTTATTGTGGGAAGCTCGTTAACTAAATCAAAATTCAATTTTACGCACGTAAGATATTATTTTGGTGAAATTTCAAGACTTGAGATTATCATCTTTTATTGGATACTTGTTAGGGTTCCATGTTAAACATGGTCATCGAAAGTATTTGGTGGAATATGGAAATACTTAACGAAACATTGGGTCTCAATAGGCCACTAAATTATTTCAATAACAGAACAGTGTTTTGAAAGTAAGCATCAGAAATCACTAACCATTAAGATATACCCTTTGACTTTGCACACCTTGCTGCAGTTGCTTTGGTCCTTAATTTAAAAAAATTCCAATAGGAAATAATTTCATTAAAATGTATATGATAAAGATAGATTTCAGAACCTTCACTGGGATTGATATAGTTGAATAACAAATTAGAGTGAAATAGATAGAAAAAATCATTGTATTATTTAGATAATTTATAATGAAATAGAAGGTAAAATTTCGTCATGGATATAAGGAAAAATATACTGGGTGGAGGTCATTCTATAAACATTTTTTAGATTTTATGTGCCGGTTTGCATCCATCATCAATATATATATAACATGAATATATATAACATGAAAGTGCATATTTTTTATACGGATTATTTTGTTAAAGATATTACTAAATAGAGGTTTCAAGTTCTACTTGATATGAAGAATTCAACTTTTAAGTGTATATTTATTTTCGTCTTATATTGTATTTGTGTTCCCACCAACTGATATTAGAGTCGAAGGTTAATCGACAGTTGGACAGAATGGTCTTTATATCGAAAGTCTTTCTAACGAGTAGGTCGGGTAAGTGTGTCCTGTTAGGATGAATAGTAGTACATGAAAGAGTTACCAATGAGCTGGAAGGAATATACCAATGTGAAAGAATTTATACTTGAGAAAGAGATTGTTTGGTAATCCAAGTGTAATTCTAAGTTTCATGCTTGTAAATTATAAATTCTTTTACTTTTCTTTAAAATATTCTTACTAATTTTTATATTTTTTTCTAGATCTAAGAACATCTTTGTAATATTAGAGACTAATAAAATATTGTCATGCGAAATAGAGTAAAATTCTCTTTACCTACTTTTAAAATATTTTGCAAATTAGGATAAGGGTTTGCATGTGGATCTATCACTCTTACATGTGAACTTTGTAAAATAAAGATAAATTTTAACTAGTTTAAGAATATTGTAATATGTTCAATTTGTTAATTGGGGTTTTCTATGAATAAAATTAATTTTCTTTGAGTTTACGAGCTTTTTGAAGTATTTGAATAAAAGGTTACAAAATTAAGATAAGGGAAACTAATAGTAAATTTCTTAGCACCTTAGAATAGATGAATTGAATTGTGATTATGACTTGACCATATTGTTTGAATTGTAGAAAGTTGATTATTGATATTGAATCAAGAACTGTGATTTATGTATATGATTTAGATTAATGATGTGTGGGATGTCTTTGGAATGTTAGGCTATGATAGTTATATTTGAACTAGGTATAACATGCTTCAAAAAGGAATTGTGTAATAAAGTCTTAAAGAAGTGTTTAACGAATATTTTTGTAGGTATGCTATTTGTATGTCTCACTCAAGCAATTGACAACTTATCATTCAAGCAAAATGTTCATAGAAACAATGATTCCTCTTGAGAATATTTTCACTCAAGTAAAAATGGCTCCCAAAGGTGGAGAATTGACTCCACCTCCTTTCACTTAAACGAAAATATCTCACTCAAAAAAAAATTCCTCAATAAAATAAAGTTTGTTTCTAGTGTATTTTCGATAAAGAGAAGAAATTATCACTCAAGCAAAATGATGCCTTAGGTGAACAAAATTTCGTCACTCAAGTAAAAATTTCCTAAAGAAGAATATGATTTTTGAGGATTTTTACTCAAGCAAAAATTTGCTAGTTTAAAAGCATAAAAATAATGAAAATTGGAAATAAAAGATAATTTACTCTTATGTATTTGGTATCTATATAACTTTGTATGTTAGAATATATGTTATGAACATGGAAAAATGTGTATTGAGTGTTATTATGTATATAGAAAAATATTTTATTATAATGTAAGAAATATCATGAGTATCCTCATATGTATATTATATTTGTGATGCATTAAGTTAACATAGTGATTTTCAAGGATGAAATATTATGTTGAGATATATGTAATATATTGAATTTGAGATTTTAAATGAGATATCATAACTCTATTAATATTGGACATACAAAGAGTTGAAGGGGTGTTTATAACTTAACTTGCAGTATAAAAAAGAATTATGTCTAGCAAGTCATAGAAATATATCTTGTCACATAAGATAACATGTTCCAATTGTATACATATATTGGAGATATTCACTTAGAGAAAGTAGTATGATGGGTGTAGATCTTTAAGTCCAATTCAATATATGTGAATCTTCTAGAAATAGAGTCAAGATATGTGTGTTACTGTATGATGACATGAGATGTCATCTATATGTTAAAAGTTAGATATTTGATTCTTTGTTTACTTTTTTTACATGACATAATTATTTACGAAAAATAATATATAGATTCGGTGGTATGTATATGATTTGAGATTTTTATCATTATTTTACCTTGGTTTGTATAATATGATTTGAACTGCTATGCTTGTGTGGTTACACGCAAATAAAGATTTTTTAGGTGGTCAATCTTAGCATTGAGGTGCTAAGAAAGAGGTGCAAATGAATTTTTAAGTATATGTTTTAAATATTTTGTTTAGAATTATGTACATGAAGCCTTATATAATGTGATAATGTTTTCTTTAAAATATTTAAACATGTAATTAAGGGTGTTAAAACAGATTTATAGTGATGTGTCGATTTGAAAGGTCTAATAAATGGATCAAGTTAGACAAAAATAATTATGGTCTAAATTGAATCAATCTTATTTTATCCTAACACATTTAGATTATAATCTACATGGGTTAAGCCAGATAAACCCATAGATTTATAGGTCGACCTATTTTATAAAATAATAATTATTTTAAAATAAAAAATTAATATTATTTTATTAAAAATATATATGTATTATAAATTAATTTGACAAAGAGACTTATTTATTCCATAAATCTATAATAATCACTTATTTCAATTTAATGATGAAAATTAATTACTAAAAAATAAATAATGATAATAAATAATAAGTTGCTAATTCTTATTTTAATATTAAATAATAAAATATATATTAAATCATTATATCTTAAATAAAAATTAATTTTATTAGTAAAATTTAAATTTTAAAAATATATTATTAACTTTTTTTATTTTATTTTTTAATTAAATGATTTTATATAAACTTGTTAATATTTTTTATTTCAAAGACCAAAATTAATTTATAAGCCTATTAACCTAAAATAAGATTATATTAGACTAAATTTTTTGACACATTTTAAAATATAGGCTAAATTGAATAATTAAATATGTTTATTACATCATAAAATTAAATGATATTAGATTACACCATCCATTTTAACAATTTTATGTAAATATCAAATATATTTATATTTTTAAATATTCTAATATTATACTAAGATGTTATAAACCGGGTGATTTAGATTGTCTTCAATGCACAGGCTCGTCCATTCTGACAAAGAATAAAAAAGGGAAGGAAAAAGATTGTTCCAGATCTATATTTTCATCAAACAACCAATTACCAACTCCATATATTAATAAAATAATAATTTTCTTTTAATTTATTTCATATAATATTAATATTTTTATCAAACAATCAATTAACAACTTCACGTATTAATAAAATAATATTTTTTTCCTTAATTTATTCCATTATTGATATTAAATAGATATATTTTAAAAATGGAATCATTGATATATAATAACCCTAAAAAGAAATAGAGTTTGATCAATTTTTAATAAAATAATACTAAATAATATATTATAATGTCTAACATACGTCATATAAGAATAATAAAATAACAAAATAGATAAGAAAAAAAAATCACTACAGTGACACCACTGCACAATCGAACATCTCCCATTGAATTGTTATGTTCGCTTTTGATATCATCTAGTAACCTTCAATTAGGATGGTAAAACCGGTCGATCAGTCCCATTTTGACTCATTATGTCTTTGGTCCGCTAAAAGTGGGCGGAGCGAGTTGACTAGATATAGTCATGACGGGTTGTAGACCTTGACCCGTTTCGCCAAGGGCGGGTTGGCGGACTAGTGGGTTGACCCGCCATAATTTAGAAAAAAATAATTTATTTTTTAAAATATTTTTTTAATAAATTTAATAATAAGATTATTATTTGTTTGTCAATAATTTAATATATATATATATATATATATTATTTTAATTTAATAATATAAATCAATATATTATTTTAAGAAATTATAATTTAGAACAATAATAAAATTTACATAATAATAAATAATAACAAATATATATATATATATATATATATATATATATATATATATATATATATATATATCGTTAAAACTTATAAAATTTATATTTTTTACATTGAAAAATTCAAATACCTATATCTTTTTTATTTGATAAAACTTCACATTATTCTTGGTTGAGTAATTCTTACACATCTAATTCAAGTCATAAGAATAAAAATAATCGAGTGTTTAAGATGAACAAGGAGAACATGAGAGAAGGTTGTGTTTCGATAAGGAAAATATTTTATGTGAGAGTGAAACTTTTTTAATTCTCATTTTAAAATTTTTAACTTTATATATATTATCTTTATAATTAATTTTTATTACAATAAAAAATTATTTTTTTATTAATTAGGCAAGCTGCAGGTCGACCCGCCCGTCCGCGAGTTGGCCGTGCAGGTTAGCGGGCTTAGCGAGCGGGCCAAAGCGGGCTGGTGGGCTGAAAACACCAATCCGCCCCGCCATATTATGGCGGGTTGGTGGGCTGACCCGTCGGGCCTGGCCCGTTTTGCCATCCTTACCTTCAAGTAACAAGGATTAACGTTAGACACATGAAAAATAAAAGAAAATATAGAAAACATCAAACAACAATTAATAATTTTATTTGAATATATTTAAACTATTACATAAAAAGAAAAAAATATTAGAATATAATGATGCAATGGTTAAAGAGTAAAAAAAAACAAGTTAATTTATTTTAGAGTTTAAATAAATTAAAATAAAATCTTTAGAAAATGATTTCAATTTTCTTATTTTCTATTGTAAATAAGCATTTACCTATTATGTTAAAATATAATTTAGTCTTTTTATGTTATGATAACAATAATTATTTATTTATTAATAATATTAAAAGACAAAAACACTAATATTTAAAAAAATACTCACCTTAATGACTCTATAACCCTACTAAACATCTCCCGTAAACGTTTTTTAAACTAAAATAAAATGATTTCTCAATATCATCAAACAATCTTGAAGAAAATTATTACTCATGTTAGACATATGAAAATTAAAAAAAAATCTAACGTGAATTTAATAATTTAATTTACAAATATTTAAATCATTATAAAAATGAAATAAATAAAACAATATTAAACAATATGAATTGATACGTGAAAAGAAAGGATAAGAAATAAAAATATTGATAAAATATATCAACAAAATCAATACTAATATATTTGAGAAATTAAATGGCTCAATTATCATTCAATTTTAATTTCTAAAATCATAATTTTGTTTAATTTAATGAGTAAAATTTTATAGGTCTAATATAACTAAAAATCTATATATCAACAATGCAATATATATATAAGAGGTTTACTTTTAGTGTTTATTCAAAATTAGAATTTCAGTTCAACATTTTATTCATCTTTAATTATTACGTACGCATATTAGCAAAGTTAAATTTTGTGATGAAAAGCAATGCATAGCCCATGGGAAAAGAATGAATAACATGGAAGCCATCATAATTAAAAATCAGTAAAAAAAAAAAGAAGGTCATAAATATAAAGTATTTAATTATTTTCAATAACGTATACATTTAACTCTTTTCTTTGTAGACCACTGTATACATTTCAAGTCAAGCTACCTAAATCAAGAGGATGAATGAAAAAACAGAGAAGAAAAAAACGAGGTTTTGACTAAGATAAGCCTCCAATGTAAAAATTGACAAATGACAATTTTTCAGTTCTTAAGATTTTAAACTGTTCTTGTTGTCAAAAGAAAAATAAAAGGTTTTAAACTCTTCTTCGGACAATCTGACAACTTTAGGATATATTTGATTTTTTTTTTTAATTTATGATTAGGGATTTCACAGTCAAACCCATGATTAACCATGGTTAAACCCAAATAGACACCTTTATTACAAAATTTATTTATTTATTTATTTATTTATGATCTGAAATATGTATGAATAATTTGTACTCGAGTAATTTATTCTTTTCTTTATGCATGCTATAAATAAACTATGTTCGTTGCGTGATGTATATTTCCCTCGACATTCTAAAAACCAACCGAAACAATAGACAAAATAGCTAACACAACTAAGCACTGATTGCTCGTGAAATCTAAAACGCAAATGTCAAGCATTGATTTCCACCACCCAATATCCACACTTGCAAATTATCAATCATATCACAGTAGCATGTCAATTCCTACCCAATCAAGCTGCAAAGTTTAAAGTGCCACTTAAATTGCTGGATTTCAACTCCTAATTAAATTACAGTTGCAATTTACCATCACCCTTTAATTAAAGCTACCCTTCTACTTCCATTTTATGATGCATCATCCATCTAGCTGGATCCTGGTTTCCATGCTAGTGGGCCAAAGTTAAATCCTTAAATGTGTCCAGAAAAGTCAATTTCATGGACCACACACTCATTGACTTGTTCTTGTACACACAAATTGAAGCATGTAAATAGTGCTTGTCACAACAGGATCTGAGCTCAAACAGATGTTGCATTTATCTCAATCCCGGACATAAAAAATACAAATTTTGCATTAATCGATCCCACATAATGGGATGAAGATTCATAGTACATAATTCATATGAAAATTCACTGAAAATCACATTTCAAACTCAAATGGCAGAAACTGAACACAATACAGAGATCAGGATTCAGGATTCAGGAGTGCGCCACATTCCTGTTGATTTGATACATGAGAAATATACACTTGACAATTGCTTTGCTTCTTTCAACCTCCACCAAGTTCTTGGATATATCAAACAAAATACTTTATTTGATTACAGAAACGTGAAAGTGTAAATACATTGATCAGGAGTGTGATGTATACCTGTTTATTTAAAACTTGATAAATATACACTTGCTTCTTTCACCTTACCTTCCATTCCAATCACACAACAACTTCAATAAACTTACTCGACGCCCACATTTTCGCAGCATCTGAGAGCTTGGTCCCCTCAACCTCCATCCTCTTCAACCGAGAAGAATTCTTAACAAACAACTCCACAGCCCCAGAGTCTATCCCGAAACAGTGCATAAAATCCACATTTTGAAGGTGTTTGCAGCTCCTAACCATGGAAACCACAGTAACACCGGTGAGTCCCTTACACCCTCTCACCCTCAAATCAATCAAACGACTGCACGAAACCAGCATCGAAACAAACTCCTTGTCAAGCAACATTTCGTTATGCGACAAGTCCAGCTTCCTCAGCTGCCTCAAATGCTGGCCCAGAGTGGCAAGCAGCCCAGGCTCCCTCTCAACCACGTCACAATTCACCAGCGCTAGTTCTTCAAGCCCGCCACAGGCTCCAGCGAGGGCCTTCAGACCCTGCCCGGTAACAAGACAGCAGCTTTGAAGCCTCAGACTAGTAAGCTTATTGAAGTTCTCGGCCATCGCTAAGAGATGGCCATTGTTGAGGTCCAGAGGGAGACGAAGGTCGAATTTGCGAACCTTGGAACGGGATTGTGTTAAAAATTGCAGGAGTCCCTCTCTGCTACCACCATCATGAACCAAGAGGAAATTTAGAGAGTGACAATATTCCACAAGCTCAAAGAGAATCCCGTACACCACACTCCTGCAAGTTCTGAGCTCAATTTCATTAATTCCGTGCAAGCACTTGACGAAAGAAGAGTAAGGTCCTCCAACACCCTGGCAACTCTGAAGCTTCAGTTTCTTAAGCTTGGTGCATCTTCTCCACAAACAACCGAGCCCCAAATCATCGCCGCGAATCCCCACCACACAGAGACTCTCCAACCCCAATTCCGAGTCAAAGTCTTCGCTTTCTTCACCGCTGTTGACCCCACCTGGATTCCCTTCGTCAGAGGACAGTGATATGGACAATTGTTTTAGACAAGGGAAGGAGGGGACCCAGTTGAAACATAGGGGCCTGGGGAGGGTGATGCAGAGGGAGGTGAGGCGGGGGCAGGAGGTGGAGAGAGAAAGGAGGGAGGAAATAGAAAGGGGGAAGGGGGTAAGAGAGAGAGCGAGGAGGTTGGAGCAGGAGGAGGAGATGAGGGAGAGAAGGTGTGGGGAGAGAGAGAGGTGTGGAGAGAGTGAAAGGGAGAGGGAGGAGAGAAAGGGGTGGTGGGAGAGGAAGGAGGAGAGAGAAGGGATGGTGAGAGAGGAGTGAGGGGTGAGGCGGAGCGAGAGGGAGGTTGTGGAGGAACGGTAGAGACGGAGCCAACGCTTGCAGACGAGGGATACGGAGGAAGAGGAAGAAGAGGGGAGTTTCCGGAAAACTTCTTGCAACAGTTCATCGTAGAGGCTGTTCTCCATTTCGCTAATTCTCTCTCTGTCTTTCGATTGTGTTCTCTGGCGTTGTGTGAAGAAATTATCGAATTGTTCTAGGAAGGTCTGGTTTTCAGGAAATGGAGAAAGATGATTAGGTGAGAAGAAGAGAAGTGAGTTTCAAAGAGGTACCTTGCTTTCACGCGGGAGTAGAGGACGTGCAAGTCACGTCCTTGCCATGGAACCCCAAAAAAATGCCACTTGATCTTGCTTCTTTTCTCCACTGTTACAATCTTTTCATTCATACCAAAACATTTATTTACAAATTTAAATTCAATTTTGCCCAAAAAGTTAAAATTCAGCTTCATTTAAACTATCAATTTATATAGATGAGTTTAATGGGTATACATCATTGTAGAAGTTTTATACTTTCAATTAATAAAAAACATTTTATTAATATAATTTCTAAAATAACTCAGAAAGAACAAGGGAAAATAATTTTTTTATCTTCACGTAAATATCTGTAATAAAAAATTTCATGGGATGGAAAATAATTTCTAATTTTGAGCATTTAAGATTAACACTAATGAAAAACTATATGCAAGTTAAATTCTATCAAAAGTATCTAAAAAAATAGTTATATTCGTTATTGTTCATCGACAAAAACAAAATTAACATGTAAAATTTAGTTAATAAAAATTATATTTTTTTAGAAAATTATTAATGAAATAAAAAATATAACTATTATAGTAATTTATGTCTCATGTAACGGTTACGATTTTGCTATATATCTTAATTATGTGTAAATGAAATTCAATGTTTACTTTTATCGTTGTTAAAAAAGTTTATTCTTATTTTTTATATACAAAATATATCTCAATTTATACTTTGAATTTGTGTTATTCAAAATATAAAAATCATTAAAAAAATCCTTTTGAAAAAAATTATGTTTCACTTATAATTATTAACATATATAATTGTTGTTAATTTTTTATATATAATATTATTTATGTCTTGATTGAACTTACTTTGTTCATATTGCAGATATTCGTCATCTACTAAATCAGTCACTAATTTTTATTAAAAGAAAAACTAAATACCAATTTTTTTTATTAAAGAGATGTATACGAATATTTTCAAGTGAAAGTCATTCTATTTATACTAAATTCATATCATTAAAAAATAAATACATTTTTTTTAATTATTTATCGTTTAAATGATTAATATATTAAATTCAATGTGAAATAGTATATTGATGGAGTTTAACTTTTGATAAGAATTTTATTTCATTTTTATTTGATTATATTGAATATTTTGAAATATTAAATAAGATATTTATTAGATTCAATTCGATCAATTTAATCCTACTTATTTTCTTAGATGATGAATTTTATACATGTAATTTGAATTTAATTGAATTTATTTATTAAAAATATTAAATAATATCAATATTAATAAAAATATAATTATTATTTGATCTATTTCATTATTATATAAATTAAATATTTTTTAAATGTAAATTATTTAAATATTAAATAATATAATTTATTTTTAAAAATTTATATCATAATTAACTCCACTCAATCCAATCCAATAAAAAATTATATTACACTAAATATAAAAATTAAACAATTTAATATAAAAAAATTTATTAAATGAAATGAAATAATTCAATCTAACCCACTTAAATTTCTAATACCCAAGTATATTCATGGATGAAAAAAAAGTTCCATAAATAACAGAATCAATTATAATTTTTAGAATTATATTCAAAATTTAAAAAATTCAAAATAATTATTTATTATTTTAACTTTTGCAAATGAAATTAAAATAAATCAGAAAAGACATGACTCCCCTAAACTTTTGTAGGATGTAGACAGAAGTTGGTTGTTGAAGTTCACGCGCTTCCTGGTGGTGGCGAGTGGGTTTTCATCCCATGCCCCTTCTCCAGCTGGGTGTGTGACACCTTTCGTAATAATATTGAATATCAAATTCATGCTAACTATTTTTCTCCTTCACTAAATTATAAAAAAATATTTTTTTCCTCACATTCAATTTGTGTTATTCACAGCCACAAAAGCCACTTGTGCTTAGAAACGGGGCATTCGCTTTAAACTAGGACAAAATATTATAGTCCCTCAAATTCAATAAAATATAGTTTTATTATCTAAATATTAAATTATTAAAAGTTTTGAAAATTTTGTTTTAATTCTTGAAATTTATTGTACAGGGACTAAAATCCAATTTCTTGTTTAGAGAGTAAAAAAATAAATAAGCATTGAAATAAAATATAAATATGAAAGACAAATATTATTTATTTATTTATTAATATTCAAGGATCAACTAAAAAATATATACATTTTCGAAGACTTAAAAAAAAGTCAAATTTATTTTAGTGATGTCTTCAACGGGAATTAAAAAAAAAACATAAAATAATTGTAAGAATGTAATGATTTTTTAGAATGATTCTTTTAAAAATATTTTTAAAATAATTTTAGTTTTAAGATTTAGTCATTTTGATTTTAAAGATTTATAAACTACGAAATAAAAATACTTAAAAGGAATTTATCAAAATGAGAGAAAATAAAAATAAAAACAAATACAGAAACTAAATCATCTTGTAAATAATGGCTGCAATATCAGTCATAATATATATATATATATATATTGGTAGAATTTAGGATCTTGCGTGATGATCAAATAAACATTATGCAAATGTCTCATCTTGATAATGTTATTGTTCTTGAATTGTTTTTTTCTTAAAGTATGTGATAAAAGTGCAATTAAATTAAGGAGACTTTGATGGATGAAAGAATAGTGATGTAAAGTGATAAAGAGATATTTATTGTTTTATTGCAATGATTCAAAATAATAAAGAATACATTTAAAACATTTATCTCATGCTATATATTAAAGTTGTTTATTAGTATAATGAGTTTGCATGCATGTTGGTTAAGATGTCCAAAGATCACATGAATTTAAAGTATCACTGCTTATGCACTTTATATAAGGTTACTAAAACTAGTTAATCTATAATTTTATATTGGTAAGAATTTCATCAAATTTACTTGTTTGTTAGTATATTTTTATAGAAGCAAGTTTATCATAAGTATTGTAAAGTTTATCATAAGCATTGTAAAATTATAATGATTTTTTATAAATTACATTAAATAAAAAACTCAAACAAAATTTTGAAATTGATAATTTTCATATACGTTAAAAGGAAAAAAATAGGTGTAAATTTTTTTATAGTACAAATACTTTTGACTGCTCTTAGGTATTTTTTGTAAATTATTAATAAGATGAGAATAAGATTTTACTCTCTTGACTTCTTGGTTTACGTTCTCTAGTTTTATGAAAAAAATAGAGGATACACATATTAAGAAGGAGATCTTGTTTTTAAATTAGTAGATATTAACCTTTTAAAATTGTTATTCCTATAAAATAACACATATTATCATAAATGGTTCTTATTTTACTCATTTACCATTTAGTGTTCCATTATTTATTTATTTATTTTCTCTCTTATCAAGTTACATACTCATTATATCACCCCTAAGACTTACATTTTTTTTCACTTGGCTCATATAATATTGCATAATTATAAATAAATAAAATATATTGCACATTAAATGACTAAATCATTCTTTAAATTGGATATATCATAACTTCATAATTATGAATGAGAATTTATTTGTGTCATGATGGTTGTACGTCATTCTATTAACATAGTTCCTTTTTATGTACCAAAAATTAGACTTCTTCCTAATATGAACATATAATTAGCAATTCATAATAGGTCCAACATAATATCTTTATTGAAGACGAGTATCTATTCACTACAAAAAAAAAAAGTCTATTATCTATAAATATTACCTACAAATAAAAATTTATAGGTAAATTGTACATTACATACAAATATTACTTATGAATAAAAATCCGTAGGTAAATTGTACATTACATACAGATATTACCTACGTAATTCTATCTGTGGATAATTATCCATTACCTATGGATATTTTCCATAGGTAATTACCTATGAAATTACTATTCATAGGTAATTACCTAAAGAATTACTATCCGTAGGTAAATTATATCAAATTAAAAAAGCTGTAATTGACAAGATTCGAACCCAATACCTGTAGAGTTGAAAATCGATATTCCAACCATTAAATATATAAATATATAAATATATCAAAATATATAAATATATAAACATATAAATATATAAACATATAAATATATAAATATATCAAAATATAAATATATTTGTATTTATATATTTTATATTTATATATTTACACGGATAAATATAAATATAATTTATTTATAAATTATTAACGAATATCCTAATAGCTTAGTGGTTGGATTATCGACCTTCAACTCTATGATATTGGTTTCGATTTCGTCAATGACAATTCTTTTAATCTAATAATATTACAAAGTTCAAAAAAATTAATAGTTATTTATTGCAACCCTTATTATTACCTAGAACCTCCTCCCCTTTATATTATATTTTTATAATATCCGTAGGTAATTACCTATGGATTATAATCCATAGGTAATTTACCTACGAATATTTACTCACGGATGATATTACCTACGGACAGTAATTCCGTAAGTAAATGACATTACCTACAAATTTTTGTCATTACCTACGGATTTTGGCCGTAGATAATAAGTGTTTTTTTTTTGTAGTGATTTACATTACTCTAACATAATTATGCATGCAATCATAATTGAGCTCAAAGTGTCAATAATTTAATACATAATAAACATAATACTCAACAATCATTTTTAACAATAACATCCATGTTTTCAACATGTTCAATAAATGTTTGGGCAATAATTTCTTTATTAAATGGTCAACTATCATATGATTTGTGCTAATATATTTTATTGATACTCTTTGTTTTTTAACTTTGTGCTTTACAACAAAGTAACATTTTTAGAGTACTTGTCATTTAAAAAAAAACACACACACATACACACAATCGTGGAGTTATCTCATAACTTTCTTTGTAGTTTTTCAATGTTTTAGTCCTAGA